ATCCTCTTCCTCATCCTCTTCCTCATCCTCATCCTCGTCTTCGTCTTCATCTTCCTCCTCATCGTCTCCTTTGGCCTCGCGTTCGTTGTTGTTTTCGTCCTCATTTTCATCATCTTCATCCCCATCCTCGCTTTCATCATCATCGTCATCATCATCATCCTCAGCTTTGGCCTCGCTTTCCTCATTTTCATCCTCATCCTCATATTCATCTTCCGCCTCATCTTCCTCTTCATTGTCATCTTTGGCCTCGCGTTCGTCGTCGTTTTTGTCCTCATTTTCATCACCTTCATCCTCATCATCACTTTCATCATCATCGTCATCATCATCATCCTCAGCTTCGGCCTCGCCTTCCTCCTCCTCATCCTCATCCTCTTCCTCTTCCTCATCCTCTTCCTCATCCTCATCCTCCTCATCCTCATCTTCCTCCTCATCGTCACCTTTGGTCTCGCGTTCGTTGTTGTTTTCGTCCTCGTCTTCATCGTCCTCATCGTCTTCATCCTCGCTTTCATCATCATCGTCATCATCATCCTCAGCTTCGGCCTTGCCTTCCTCGTCCTCGTCCTCCTCCTCATCTTCCATCTTCCTCCTCATCGTCGCCTTTGGCCTTGCGTTCGTCATCGTTTTTGTCCTCATTTTCATCATCTTCATCCTCATCCTCGCTTTCATCATCATTGTCATCATCATCCATATCTTTGGCCTCACCTTCATCCGCATCCTCTTCCTCATCCTCTTCCTCATCCTCATCCTCGTCTTCATCTTCCTCCTCATCGCCACCTTTGGCCTCACGTTTGTCGTCGTTTTTGTCCTCGTCTTCATCATCTTCATCCCCATCCTCGCTTTCATCATCATTGTCATCATCATCCACATCTTCAGCCTCGCTTTCCTCATCTTCATCCTCATCCTCCTCCTCTTCCTCATCCTCATCCTCGTCTTCATCTTCCTCTTCATCGTCACTTTTGGCCTCGCGTTTGTTGTTGTTTTGGTCCTCGTTTTCATCATCTTCATCCCCATCCTCGCTTTCATCATCATTGTCATCATCATCATCCTCAGCTTTGGCCTCGCCTTCATCCGCATCTCTTCCTCATCCTCTTCCTCTTCCTTATCCTTATCCTCATCCTCTTCCTCATCCTCATCCTCTTCCTCATCTTCCTCCTCA